TACTGAAAGATGCAGAATACTTCTGTAACTCTCTGTTTCTTTGGCTTGGCTTTGCTCATCTTGTTTGTTCTTCATACTACAGGGACGCCATCTAATGATGAAAGCAAATTATCCTGCGAGATAAACAAGGCAAACGACAAATGCACACCAACGATGCGTAATAGTTCTCTAACTCTCAGTCCAGCTCCTCCAGTTCCAGTTACCCCGCTCGAGTGGGATCCCTCTCCTTCAAGAGGAAGATGGAACCGGAAAGAATTACGAGTGGGAATTACTATTGCAGCATGTGCTCTGTTGTTTGGTTTAGGTTTCATCATTCTGTTCCTTTTTTGGAGGAAGCGGAGAGAAAATGAAGTAGATGTTCTTGCCTTTGATGTGTCCTTTAGTGATGAATTCAGGAATGGCATGGGACCTAGAGAGTTCTCCTACGATGAATTGGCTATAGCAACAAAGAATTTTGCAAATGAGGAGAAGATTGGCGAGGGAGGGTGTGGAGTAGTTTATAAAGGGTTCATGAGGGATTCAAATACTTATGTTGCTGTTAAAAGGGTTTCAAAGAGGTCCAAACAAGGGATCAAGGAGTTTGCATCAGAAGTGAAGATTATTAGCCAATTAAGGCATAAGAATTTGGTGAAGCTCATCGGATGGTGCCATGAAAAGGAACTCTTACTTGCTTACGAGTTCATGCTTGGTGGCAGCCTAGATTTCCATCTTTTCAAAGGAAGAAGCTTGTTACCGTGGGACATTAGATACAAAATCGTGCAGGGTTTAGCGTCAGCATTGCTTTACCTACATGAAGAAGGAGATTTTTGTGTGCTACATAGGGACATAAAAGCAAGTAACATTATGTTAGATTCAGTTTTTAATACCAAGCTTGGGGATTTTGGTTTAGCTAGGTTAGTTGACCATGAAAAGGGGTCACGAACAACTTTATTGGCTGGAACCATGGGCTACATAGCTCCTGAGTGTTACAGAACAGGCATGGCAACCAAGGAGTCTGATGTCTATAGTTTTGGAATTGTGGCACTTGAAATTGCATGTGGCAGAAGGTCAATAGAGTACAAGCATGACGAGCATCTGTCTTCATTGGTGGCTTGGGTTTGGGAAGCATATGGGAATCAAATGCTTCTTGATGTAGCTGACAAGAAACTCTCTGCTGAATTTAACGTGAAAGAGATGGAATGTTTGCTACTTGCTGGGTTATGGTGCGCTCATCCTTCTCATGGTATGAGACTGTCAATTAGGCAAGCAATCCAGGTACTTAATTTTGAGGCAGCACTTCCAAATCTACCAAGTAAGATGCCTATTTCCAATTATGATGATATCCCTAATACTTCCACCATCAAAACAAGTCAACCCAATTCACTTAGCATTACTCTCCCTCGCTAATTTTGGTGTCAAAGGTGCTAATAGTTAATTTTGATAATATATAAACACGTGTGTTTCTTTAAGATTAATGGATTCTTGTTATGCCCGTTTGAATTTGCTTATGGCATTTTATGCCGCTAAATTGTTCATTTTATCAGTTAAAACTTCTGTTTATTAGTAATTGCACCTTAGCCGGCCAGGATCTAGAAAATCAGTGGGATTTGCTAGTACTTTAGACTATTTCCGCATTTTCACTGTTGTGAAGCCTAATTCCTCACAGTTTACATCAAATCTACGCTGAGGTCTTTGTGATGTTTTCTAGTTGTGTAAATGTGGTTGCTTAATAGCAATTTTAGTTGATTGTTAATGTTAACGATGTGACTCGCAAGCTGATAGCAGCCGAAATTTCTTTGAATGTTGTTAGCAGAGAAGAGGAAGCTTATAATTGAATTCAGCACTGATTAACCTTTTCTGACACAACTGTTAATGCATACAAGCTGATGAGAATACAAGCCATCATCAAATACAATAGCTTATGCTCATTCATTTGTCTAATCTTTGAGTTTGACAATCACTCTTCCTATATCGGCTCCATTCAAACAGGGGACTCTGTTGTAGCATCCTTCCAAGCAAATGATATGCTGCCCTTTTTCATTTCACATTCCCACCGGCCATCATCCGTGCTATGAGAAAAATAGACAGTTTTCCTTTCTTTTCCCTTTTTTTTTTTATTTTATTTTTTTAAAATTTTAATCTGGCTTTGCTTGTAGAGACTGACATGCAGCAATTAGTACCCAGAAACAATGTTCTCTCCTCAAGACTCTCCATCTTCTCCCATGAGAGATCTTCAATATTAAGCGAGAAAACTTCAACATCATCCACAATTTTTGTCGTTTTCCAAGATATGAGAAAGACCAACAAAATCTTGCATCAGATTCTACCAAATTTTGAGTGAAATGCTTTGAGAACACAGTAGGAGCAGCCTTTTCGAACTCTGAGCTCTGATTCTCAAATAAAAATCATTATCAACAAAAACCTTCCTTTAAACCCAATAGCATTAGTGAATTGCAGAAATTTCCCACCTCTTGGTATGCTCTGGCAAAGAGGATGAATCAGTGCAGTCTTGCTTCACCCATCCTAGCACTTTTCCCTTCTCCTTTCAACCTATAGTAAACAAATGCTGGATGACCAGTTCCTGTCAAAACCATGACAGTACAATTCCAATTAGAATAATCTCCATATACAGAGAAGATAAAATAACACGGATACATGGAAATTTGGGAGACCATAATAGCCAGGCACACCAACTGGAGCAAATGGATAACAAAGATATAATCTGAGGCTCCTCTAGTTACCAATGTCTTGTGCAAGTAGCTAAGGAAATACTTCCACAAGCCTTGAAACGACCATCTAAAATTGTCCTTTTATTCATTCAATTAAAGCCACGTGAATTGGTCATATAATCGGCATTTATTTTCACTTTTAATAACACGTCAAAATTTTGCACCATTTGATAACGGCATTAGAAGTCGGATGAAAAAGCCAATGGTTGCCGCTTTTTAAAAAATTTTTGTTAATTCAATTTTTTTGAATATATAAAATATATGTTGAATAAAATAATATTGGTGTAATTTTTGAAAAAATTTTATCTAAGTATATGTATTAGAAAAAAAGTATGTTTTGTTAGGTGTTTTATTTAAGTATTAAATATATAAAAATATAAATTTTATAAAATAATATTAATTATGATAATTTAGTATTAATAAAAAAAACCAAAAAAATCTCTATTATTGCATTTGGGTTTTCGAGTCCAGTGACGTCAAGTTACATATAAACGTATTTCTCCTCCCTACTACAACGATTTGAATTCAATCCCCGGTCAATTTGTTCAAAAAAAAAAAATCTTTACTATTGTACGTGCTCTTAAGGGCCTGCAGGAATGAAATGTCTGGCCCGTGTCCTACAGCCAACCCAAGTCTCGTGAGCTAAAATAAGTGGGCTTTTTGTGCTGCGGACTACTATTAATATCTTTTTTAGGGCCCATTATATTGAGCCTTTTCTTTTCCCCGCTATTTCAGTTTCTTTTACCAGCGCACTCCAACATGATGTGCTGAGCCTGAAATCATGCTCAGGGTAAAGAATGAATACAAGCTGAGAAAGACAGAAGAAAAAGAAGAGGAGGTCGCTTCGCCGGAAAAGGGTTGCCCCGCCGGAAAAACGGTAGACAAGCATTCCCCCACGTATTTATTATTCTTCTTCTTTGATTTCGGTATTTGCACATTTCAATGTTGTTCTTGATCATATCAGTCCTTACTCGTTGCTTTCTTGGGGCTTTTCTTCTGTATTGATAAGCTAACCTACATTTTGACTTGTTATAAGGAACATGTATACTAATGGAAAATCCAAACCCAAGATCTGGATTTTGGTCTTTTATTTTAATTACCTTATCATATTACCCCTATTTACAGCTAGGGACGTGAAAGTCTTACAAGTTGCATCTTTTCTTTCCCTTTTTTAGACTAAATTTTGGTTTTTTATACTTCAATTGCATAACTTAAATTAAATAGTGCTACTTACTTCTCCTTTGATAGTTTTTATTTTTACAATTTAATGATGAAACATAAAACTCATTTTTTATATGATAAAACCTTCAAATCCACTCTTAAAAAATATCTGTAGGGATACATCCATTCCTCAAAAAAAAGCAAGGACAAATTGCCTCTCCAAATCATAAATTAATACAAATCACACATTTTTAATGGATGATTTGTATTAATTTATGATTTGAATGGGTAATTTATCCTTTTTTTTTTTAAATGAATGTATCTCTACCGATATTTTTTTATGGTAAATTTGAGGATTCTGCTTTTTTATATTAAAAAAAATGCTAAAATCCCAAACAAAGAGTTCCCATAATTATCTTGAGTGGAAACGTGGAATTTTATTTGTAGGGTATGAAACCACTTTTGCACTAAAAGTGGGAATATTACCATACTAGACTTCTTTGTTGAATGAGTCTCCTATAAAACTCATTCTTCCACATTAATTTATTATTTTGTATAGTATTCCTTGGATCCGCTAAGTTAAAACAGTAATAGGTTGCTATACATGGGAGAGCGCTACATAAGGCGATATACGAAGTAATAAGATTCTATCAGTTTTAAGGCATTTTCTTTCAACAATGGAGAATATGGGGATAGAGAAAAAAAAATTTACAAACAACTAATTTACATATGGATGGTCGTACTCTCTTAAGTGGGGCACTCATTAACGTTCTCCTTTTAAGAATTAAGACAAAGCAATTTTAAGAGCTTATCTTCGAAATATGAGGGCATTTGGTTCGAGCTTATTGACGTACAATTGGTGGGTGGAATGTACTGTCCCCTTTGATTTTATTTATCTATTCACTTTGATTTTTGAGCATATAGCTAGATAATACTTTCATATAACATATAATTGGCCGTTGATTTTTTTTTTTTAATTGTTAAATGAAACTACTTGATAAATAATATTATTGAAAAAATAAAATTTTTATTATTATTTATAAGTTACGTAAAAGTATCACTTAAAATTACATGTAAAGTTAGTTATTATAAGAACATATAAATAGGAACAAATGTTGAAAAAATGTAAAAGAATCCTTTAAAAGCTCTTCATATATATTTCCTTTCCTGGTTCCCCCCAATTACATACAATGCATCTCGGGTTCTTCTACAAAAGTCTTGGTTCTTTCATTTAACCTTTCCATATTGGTCCCTATTACAGATTAGATTTTTTTTTTTGGTTAAAAAATATGCTAGAATTACAAACGAAGATCTATCAGATTTCTCGACTGGAATTTCTTTTACCTGTAGTTAAATAAATAATTTCATTTCAAGTTTTGTTTATTCCCTTGATATGATAAGCATCAAACCACTTTTTCACTTTTACAAATCACTTTTGCTCTGTAAGTGTGAATGCTAGACTTCGTTGTTCTGCTTTTTCTATTAACCAAGAAGACCTTGACTCAATGCTTTTAATATTGAGCCAGCTAGAAATACGTTTTTCTGATGAGGATTGAGTTGTGCAACTGAATTGAAGGGCAAGGTTTCTCCTTGATGCTTTGTATGACCAAAATACAAATGCAAAATAGAGCTTTAACTCTCTGTTTCCTTTGCGTTGCTTTGCTCACGTTATTTGTTCTTAACACTACAGGCGCGCAAAGTGGAAGCAATTCAACATGCCCAGACATTCCATCCATCGGGAAGGCAGCTGCCGGATGCTACTACAACAACCCTGTAAATCGAACTATTCGTGCATCTCCTCCATCTCCTCCTCCATCTCCTCCGCCATCTTTTCCTCCATCCTCTACCCCATCTACTTCTACAAATCCTGCACACCCACCAACCATTCCGCCTGCTCCAGTTAAACCACCTGATCCCTTTCCTCCAGAAGGAAGAAAGAATCCGAAAAGATTACAAGTCAGGATTATTATTGCAATATTTGCTCTAGCTCTAACGCTTGGCTTAGGTTTCATTCTGTTCCTTTTTTGGTGGAAGCGGAAAGAAAATAAACAAGATGTTCCTGCATTTGATGTGTCCATTGGTGATGAATTTGGGAATGGCTTGGGACCTAGGGAGTTCTCTTTTGATGAATTGTCTAAAGCAACAAAGAATTTTGCAGATGAAGAGAAGCTTGGCGAGGGAGGGTTTGGAGCGGTTTATAAAGGTTTCTTGAGAGATTCCAATACACATGTAGCTGTTAAAAGGGTTTCAAGGAGGTCAAAACAAGGGATTAAGGAGTATGTGTCAGAAGTAAAGATTATTAGTCAATTCAGGCATAAGAATTTGGTGAAGCTTATTGGATGGTGCCATGAAAGGGAGCTTTTACTTGCTTATGAGTTCATGCCTAGCGGTAGCCTTGATTTCCATCTTTTCAAAGGGAGGAGCTTGATACCATGGAAGATAAGATACAAAATCGTGCAGGACTTAGCATCAGCATTGTTGTATCTACATGAAGAAGGAGATTTATGTGTATTGCATAGGGATATAAAAGCAAGCAACATTATGTTAGATTCAGCTTTCAATGCTAAGCTTGGGGATTTTGGGTTAGCCAGGCTAGTTGATCATGAAAAAGGGTCGCAAACAACAGTGTTGGCTGGAACCTTGGGGTATAT